AAAAAAAGGATTGTCAGTTAAAAAAAAAGGGAGGGGGGTTAGTAGATGGGGGAAAATATTTTAATTGGCGAAAAATTTTAAAACTTTTTAATTTGGAAAAACAACATAATTCCACCCCAAAAAACTTTTAGGGTAAGAGGCAATTAAGGTGGGGGAGGGATCTGAGGAAGTAAAAGAAAGGGGGAACAGTTGGTTTAACATGACAAAATTTAAAAACAGGGGGGGTATAGTGTTGGAGGGTTGGTACTTTTTTCAAAAAATGTAGAAAGAGGGGAAAGGGACCCAGGGATTGGCAGAGCATGTAAGCCCTTTTTATAAAGGGGGAAAGGGGGGAAAAGGAAATGTAAAAATTAAGAGGAATAACTTACGAGTAACCCGGGGAAAAGTGTACGGTAGGTTTTAATTTAAAGAAAGAGGGAAGACAGAAGTAGGATTGCGGTGAGCAAGGAGGTTTTAAGTGGGGAGGGGTGTGTAATCAAGTGTTTTCATTTTAAACATATATGTGAACAGTATTTAATAAGGTAGGGGAAATTTTTTTGCATTTATGGATTTAGAAAAAACATTGTAGAGTGGAAGAGACATGTGGGATTTGAAATATAGGAAAAGGTGGGAAGTTATTAAATGCTGTAAAGGTTTTTTTTGGAAAATGGAGGTCGGTTAGGGTGTGTAAAGAGAGGGGGATATTTCCCGGTAAAAGTAGGGGCTTAGACAGGGGTGTGTAAGTCCCATGGTTTGTTTAATATTTATAGAGGGGTTGTTAAAAGGGAAATAAAAAGCTAGGGGTTTGGGAGGGGGTGGGGAAAAAATTTTGGGGGAACAAATTCAAAGGGAATTGACAAGTTACTTTTTGCTGAATTTTCTGTGTTTTGGGGGATTTAAAAAAAAATTGCAAAGGTTAGTGGAGAGTTTGGGAAGGTGTAAAGGTAGAAAGTTTTAAAGTGAAATAAAAAGAGTAAGGGATGAGGTGTCAAATGATTTAGATAAAAAAAAATTGGTTATCAATTGGGGAGGAGGAGTATGGAAGAATGAGTTTTTAGTACTTGGGAGTTGGTGTCGGCGGGTGGGTTTTGAGGATGAGGTTTAATCATAGAATTGATGGGGAAAAAAAAATGGTGGTGCTTTAGGTTTTTGTGGAGTCAAAAAACGTACTTTGGGGGCAAAGAAGGGGAAGTATGAAAGTTAGGTTTTCCAAACTCTTATATGGGTGTGAAGCTTGGGGGTAATGCACAGCGAGGAGACGGGGGGAGGGAGTGGAATGTCCGTTTAAGGGCAAAGTGTGGTGTAAATATTATGCGAAAATTTGGAAATGTGGAAATTTGGAAAGGTGTGGAGTTAATAAAAAATATTTTTCAGAGGGGGAAGAGGGGGGTTTTGAGGTGGTTTTGGGATTTAGAGAGAAGGGTCAAAATAGAAGACAGGGGGAAAAATAAAATTATAGGGGAAGGAAGGCGGGGTAGGGGTGTCCCCGGGAAAAAGGGTTTGGGGAGAGGGGGTAAAGGAGGTTTTGTGGGGAAGGGGCTTGGACTTCCACAAACGTGCGTGAGGTGTTAATAGGAGTGAATGGAACGAATGGGATTGGGACCCCGACGATCGTTTGGAGTGTGAGAGGGTAATATTTAGTGAAAGGGTTTTAGGGAACCGGGTTTTTTTTATAGTGGACTGAGTCCCCGGAAATGGGAAATACAATGCCTGCACTTTAAGGAGGGGTTTGGGGTTTTGGGATTTGGAGGGGTATTTTTGGGGATCTTTAAATTTTGGTTGCTTCTAGACTGTTTTATTTGAGCACCTCTGCAAAAACAGTATAATTTGCGAGTGTGGTGAAAGTGTTTTAATGATGAGAAAGTATTTTTTTTTTTGGGGATTTTTTTTCTTTTTTGGGTCACCCCCCGGTGGGGACGGCCCACTTTTTGAAAAAAAAAAAAAAAAAAAAAAAAGTTTACGATTTTACCCGGAAAAATGTACGGTAGGGGTTTAATTGAAAGAATTTTAGGTAAGACGAAAGTATTGCGGATGAGCAAAGGGGGTTTCAGATGGGTAGGGGATGTGAGATCAAGTGTTTACTTGAGCAATTATGTGAACAGTATTTTGATAAAGGTAGGAGTTTTTTTTTGCATTTATGGATTTAGAAAAGGCATATGATGAGGGATAGAGGAGCAATTTTGGGAGATGTTCAAATTTTTTGGAATAGGTGTAAGTTATTAATGTGTAAGGTTTTTATGAGGATAGTGAGGCTCAGGTTAGGTTGTAGAAAGAGGGGAGACTACTTCCCGGTTTTAAAAATAGGTCTTAGAAGGGATGTGTAATGCACCAGGTTTTTTTATTTTATAGTTGGGGTTGTAAAAAGGAAGTAAAAGCTAGGGGGTTCGGGATAAGGGTTTGGGGGTTAAAATTTTGGGAATCAAAATTTAAAATGGGAATTGACACAGTTTCTTTTTGCTGTGATATGTCTTATGGGAGTTCAAAAAAAATTGCAAAGGGTTTGGGATGAGTTTGGGAAGTGTTAAAGGTAGAAAGTTAAAGTGAATTAGAAAAAGAGTAAGGGGATGAGGGTATCAAATGATTTAGAAATTTAAAAAAAAATTTTTGGGTTCAAATTGGGAGGAGGATATGGAAAAAGTGAATGTTTTCAGATATTGGGATTGACTGTCGGGGATGGATTTTTAAAGGAAGGTTAATCATAGAATTGATAGGGAAAAAAGGTGAGTGGTGCATTGGGTATAGTGGATAAAAAACTTATCTATGGGGCAAAGAAGGGAATGTATGAAAGTATGTAGTACCAAAACTCTTATATGGGTGTGAAGCTTGGGTGGGAAATTTGCAGCAGCGAGGAGACGGTGGAGGCAGTGGAGATGTCCTGTTTAAGGGCAATGTGTGGTGTAAATATGCAGAAAATTCGGAGTGTGGAAATTAGGAAAAGGTTGGAGGTAATAAAAGTATTAGTCAGAGGGCAGAAGAGGGGTTGAGGTGGTTTGGTCATTTAGAGAGAATGGATCAAAGTAGAATGACATGGAAAGCATATAAATCTATAGGGGAAGGAAGGGGGGGGTAGGGGTGTCCTCGAAAGGGTTGGAGAGGGGGGTAAAGGAGGTTTTGTGGGCAAGGGGTTTGGACTTCCAACAAGCGTGCGTGAGCGTGTTAGATAGGAGTGAATGGAGACGAATGGTACTTGGGACCTGACGATCTGTTGGAGTGTGAGCAGGGTAATATTTAGTGAAGGGATTCAGGGAAACCGGTTTTCATATAGTTGGACTTGAGTCCTGGAAATGGGAAGTACAATGCCTGCACTTTAAAGGAGGGGTTTGGGATATTGGCAGTTTGGAGGGATATGTTGTGTATCTTTATATGTGTATGCTTCTAAACTGTTGTATTCTGAGCACCTCTGCAAAAACAGTGATAATGTGCGAGTGTGGTGAAAGTGTTGAATGATGATGAAAGTATTTTCTTTTTGGGGATTTTCTTTCTTTTTTGGGAGACGGCCGACTTGTTGAAAAAAAAAAAAAAACAATCTAACAAACTACTTTCATTACATGCAATATCATACCTTGTATACTCATTTATCTTCTTTTTCATAAAATATGTATTACTTATTACCACACCTCTTTTTACACATAGCTCAATTAAAGGCTCCCCATTTTCATTTACCCTTGGCACCCGAAATTTACCAACTCTACTACTCCCTCCACAACATTTTTACCCACTTTAGCATTGAAATCCCTAATCACAAGTACTTTCACACTTGGTTGAAAACTCCCCATGCACTCAACATTTCCAAAAATCTCTCTCTCTTTCCTGTACACTTCTCTCTTCTCCAGGTGCATAAATACTTACTATAACCCACAGTTCACATCCAACCTTTACACTGGTGCTAATATTTTAAATAATTTAAGCCTGACTTAAGACAGATTAAGGAGGAGTAAGCTACCCTTAGCAAAGTTAGCCAAGGTTATGTTAATTTTGGTGAATTTTTTTTTTTTAAATTACAGAGTTCACAGTTTTTAACACTTGCTGTCTCCCACTGAGGTAGGGTGACCAAAAAAAAAAAAAAAAAAAAAAAAAAAAAACTTTCACCATCACTCGCTCTGTCACCGTCCTGCCAGGGGCACTTCAATACTACAATTCAGATACCCCTCCAAACTGCAATATCCCCACCCTTGTTTCAGTGTGCAGGCACTGTGCTTTCTGCCTCCAGGACTTAGCCCAGCTAACTGGTTTTTCTGAATCGCTTCGTAAATATCACCTTGCTAACACTCCAACAGCACACCAAGTCATAAAAACCACTTGCCGCCACTCATTCCTAATTAACATGCTCACACATGCCTGACGGATGTCCAAGCCCTTTGCATAAAAAAACTCCTTTATCCCCTCTCTCCAACCTTTCCTTGGATTACCCCTGCCTTGCCTTGCCTTCCTTCCTATGCAGATTTATACACCCTCCAAGTCATTCTATTTTTCTCCCAAGTGTCTAAACCAACTCAACAACCGTTTCTCAGCCCTCTGGATAATACTCTTAGTAACCCCATACCTCTTTCTATTAATAAAAATATATCTATTAATACATAAGAGAAATTGTTGAAAATGTACATTTTTAGGCATTTCAGTTTGTGCGACTGAACCTGACTAAAATAATACGACAATATAATATGTATCCAGTGTGCATGTATGTATTTATATTCATTGTATATCATTTGGTTGTCTAACAGATATGTAAAAATTCCTGCAAGAGTAAAAATTCTGAATCACTTAACCTATTGGTCAAGTAACTTTCATAAAACATTTGAGCCCTGTAATTAATTCTAGCAGCAACCTCGGTTTATTTTTGGATACAGTGGCTTCAAAAAGTTAATTCCTCAAGTACTTTGTATATACAAGTGCAAATGTGTAGGTATCAAACAGTAGATGAAAGCAGAAAAAACAATATTAATTTTAACTTTGGTTCTTTAGATGTATAATTACAAGACTCACATTTATCTTAGCATTACTTGAGGAAGAATAGCACTTACCAGTGTTTCCACCTCTCGTATTACTAAGTCCTGCGTGATAACCAGCATAGTATGCTGCTTTCATTTTACCATGTTCTTCTGCAACTTTAACCACTAGTGGTTCTGTTCCTCCCTCAGGCACAACACCATTCATGCCAACAATTGCTGCTTCCGCTTGAGATTTCTTGTCAAACCTGGAAAGTGAATGTACAGTATTATTCTCCATGGGTGAGTGGACAAGAATTCTTCCTCCGTAAATCGTGTGTGTCATAAGAGGCAACTAAAATGCCAAGAGGAAGGGGCTTGTAACCCCTTCTTCTGTATAAATTTCTAAATTTAAGAAGAAAAATTTTCATTTTTCTTTTTAGGTTACCCTACCTCGATGGGATATGGCCATATTGTTGAAAAAAAAAAAAAGCATTATGGAAAATGGGATTTCATACAAACTATATTGTATTTATAATACACTAAAATGGTGATAAAAAATAATTTAACCAAGTATTTCAAATATTCTGAATTAATACTGAACATATTTTAACTCTGGGTCAGTTTCAACTGTTCTGACAAAGAAATTTAATAATCCGGATACACTGGCCAAACTACATCCTTAACCCTTTGAGGGTCGACAGGCCCTCTCCGAAACTCGTTCTCAGGGTCGGCCAAATTTAAAAAAGAAAAAAAATTATTTTCCCTTATGAAAAGATAGAGAATCTTTTCCCGATCATAAAGACACCAAAAGTTTGAAATTTTATAGAAAACTTACGGAATTATGCTCTCGCAAAGTTAGCGGTCTCGGCGATTTTGCCCACTTTGAGCCCCATTTTCGGCCAATTTCACTGTACTAGTCGACAAAAAACATGAATATTTCGCTAGAACTCCATTTTTTCTATCGAATGGGTGCAAGAAACCACCCATTTATGAAATTCAACTATCCAGTACAGTGGTCAGAATTTAGCAATTTTGCCAATTTCACACAAATTTCAAAAGATGCCAATTTCCAAATAGGGTCCAGAATAAACAAGAAAGACATTCCTGGCACTAAAATGACATTTCCTCTGGTCATTAGTCACGTCTCAAGGCCCCTCTTATATTCTTTTGCTTTCCACTTTGAATTTTTATTTTCACAAAAAATATAAGATTTACTATTATGCAGACTACTGCATTAGTGTAAAAAATGGTATAAATATTATTGGTGCACTTGTGAAAGAATATTAGACTCACCAGTTGACGTGTATTGCACGCTTGGCATGATTTGTTTACTTTTGAAGTTTGGTAAAAAATCGAACATTTCTGCTACTTTGAGCTCAATTTCAAGGCACCTTTCATTGTAAAACCAGTCAAAATCATCTCAATTTCTGTAATATGTCTTCCATTCTATAAAATGACACCAAGAAAACTAGAATACAACAATAAATACCATACGAAAATACACTGCAAAGTCGCTGATTTATTAAAAAAAAATGGTCAAAGTTTTTTTTTTCTCATTATGCACTGTGTGCTGCAGGATTTTTTTTAGACTGTGCACACTGACCACATAGACCCATTCTTTCATATGAAGGCCTACCAGCTTTCTCCCACTAGATTTGAGGCCGCTAGAATTTATGAGTACTAGTACGTCAAAAAACCCTACGCGTAAGACGTACTAGTACGACAAAAACCCTCAAAGGGTTAAAACAGTTAATGTATTAGTTTACATGGCTGCAGCACTTGAGATCTAAATTTAAACAAAAAGAACAATGAACAGAGGAAATGCTCGAGACCCATCCTTGACATGTTTTCGTACTTGAAGTGGCAATATTCTTGGTCTCATGAATACTGTGGGTAACCTTTAATTCATAACATAAAATAAGCAGCCTTTTTGAAACAGACAAGTTAATCATACAGTCATTTCACTCTAATTCAATCTTTTCAAGAAATATTATCATTTATGAGAGGCTACTTGTATAATTTTACTCAATAAACATAACTATTAAGATGAAAATGAATGATGCCATATACAATCTTGATAATGTATAAACAAAATGTGTATGCAATCAAACATATAACAGAAAAGCACTACCAAAAGCAAGCAACTGTCAGTATCTGGTTACCGGGTCAAGTGATTAATAGTACATTCTCATACCTCATGTGGTTATCCTAGTCCCATCTATTTTCCCTACTTAAGTCACACTTTTGTCAACAGGGTAAACATGAGATCATAGCCATTAACTAAGGTTGAAGTGCCAAAATGATAACAAAAAGTTCTTCACAAACAAAACAATGGAATGGCTACCTTAGGAGGTAGCAAGCTCTACAACCAAAGAAATTAAAAATGTATATAAAATAAAAGATCAAATAATGAAAGACAGGACACCACAAGCTTTGTACTGTCCTTGTATTTACAAATTAACATTTACATAGATAATTAACTTATAAATATAAGTGAAAATAAACGGCTAAGGTTCAAACTTTCATCTTCAAATAAACATTTTTATTGCCTCGAGTCTTAATAAAGAAAAAAAAAAGCTTGGAGCACCATCATTCATTTTTCTCGTGTAATGTTAATTCCATCGATCATTGTACCATTCTGATGGTTATGAAACATACGTAATACATAAATGAAGAAAACCTTACTCAGTTACCTTACAAAACCAACACCTCGTGGAAGTCCTGTAACTTTATCCTTTAAGAGATTTTTCTGGACAATCTGGCCAAACACTGCAAATAGCTCCTCTAGTTGGTCTAGCGTGTATGATCTGCAACAAAGTTTAAACCCATTTAATTGTGTATTGGATTTAGAAAACTCCTTGTGTTCTATAAAAGCTCAACAAGTTACAAAACAAATGCTCCTCATCAAATCTGCCAGATAACCCACCAGTCATTTAAAGTGTACCAAGCTTAGCCCCTTGAGGGCTCTGCAGCCCACTATATGACAAACACTGTATATATGAAGCCACAGAAGCTAGAATATATTACCACTGTACAACATGAGGAAATGCTTTAGCCTAACCTGAATCTATGGGACAGCTACCCAGCATTTCTAATATGTAAATAACTGTTAGAGAATAACAAGTCCAAAATATGTCATTTCCTTTCTAGAATGTAAATTCTGCTAAGTGGTTGAGTCTTAATGCTAGTCTCTATCTTTGCTCTCAGTTTGAAATTGAACATAACAGAAGCAGAAAAACTTCTACTGATCAAAAATGAGAAACTGCATGACCAGCAAGCACCACCGTTACACTAACTCACCAATGGAAAGGTCAACACTACAATAATATTTTTTAACACAACAGGAGTTTACCACTAAGACAGGGTTGATCCAAAAACAGAGAAACATTCACCATCACTTACCCGCTTACAGACATCACAGTTCAAATGACTAGCAAAACTGCAACATTCCCACAAGTCTTTCAGAGTGCAGGCACTGTACTTCCTGCCTCCAGAACTCTTGTCTGGCCAACCTGTTTCCCCAAATCCACTCATAAATGCTACCTTGCTCATGCTCCAACATCGAATCAAATCCTCAAAAATCATTTTGTTTTCACTGGATCTTCAAGCCCTTGCAACGTCAATATTTAACACCCTCCTTCCTACCCTTCCTGGGACATCCCAACACCTATGTCCATCCACCCCTGATGATCAACACATGGCTCAAGGAAATACATTTGAAATTTTTTTTATAAGGTGCATCTTACTTTTTTCTTTTACTAATGCATCAGTCATTTCCCACCAAGGGAAGGTGGAAAAAAAAAAACTTTCATCATTCACTCCACCACTGTCTTGCCAGGTGCATTTACACTACAGTTATAAAACTGCAACATTAACACCCCTCCTTCTGAGTGCAGGCACTGTACTTTCCATCGCCAGGACTTATTTACAGCAAACAAAAAGTGCTATATGATCACTGTGGTTACCTCAAAAGCCTTAGAACAAACCAGTCAATTTTTTTAAAGAGCCTCTTTCCATTCTGAAATTAGTTTTCCTCAACTACCTAACAAACCATCTGGTGGATACAAAAGCCCAAATTTATTTAACCCTTAAACGGTCCAAACTTATATATACGTTCACTTGCGCAGCGCCCTGAATATTTTGAAAAAAAAAAAAATGAAATTTATAGAAAAAAGAACACATTTTTTAACATATTTTGGAATAAAAAAAAATAGGGTCAGTACTTACCGAGATATGAGGCCGAGAAGTTGGCACTGGATGCTCATGTGACAGTAACATCGAGTCCTGCCGCTTGCAGAAGTGTTGCCGATATACCTTTTTTTCTATTTATCACATTATTTTATGTAATTTTTATGTTCTGATAATTACAATTTGTAGTAGTTCTTGTCATTTTATAACCAATCTTTGTTCTGACACTAGTATTAGGTACTGACATTGTACTCAAATTGTCACAAACACACTGACAGGTGGACATTTACACCTGCCTTAGCCATTTACTATTGTCTTGGAATATATACAAAGTATTTATATGTCCCAGAAATGTTTTGGATACGTGGAAGTATATAATAATGAGGAGAGAGGTGGAGGAGGGAGGAAGAGGAGGGAGGAAGAGGAGGGAGAGGAGGGAGGAAGAGGAGGGAGGAAGAGGAGGGAAGAAGAGGATGGAGGAAGAGGAGGGAGAGGGAGGGAGGGAGAGGAGGGAGGAAAGAGGAGGAAGAGGGGAGAGGAGGAGGAAGAGGAGGGAGGAAGGAGGGAGGAAGAGAGGAAGGGAGGAAGAGAAGGGAGGAAGAGAAGGGAGGAAAGAGAGAAGGGAGGAAGAGAAGGAGAGGAAAGAAGGGAGAAGAGGAGGGAAGGAAGAGGAGGGAGGAAGAGGAGGGAGGAAGAGGAGGGAGGGAGGAAGAGGAGGGAGGAAGAGGAAGAGGAGGGAGGAAGAGGAGGGAGGAAGAGGAGGGAGGAAGAGGAGGAGGGAAGAGGGAGGGAGGAAGAGGAAGGAGGAAGAGGAAGAGAGGAAGAGGAAGGAAGAGGAGGAAGGAAGAGGAGGAGGAAGAGGAGGAAGGAAGAGGAGGGAGGAAGAGGAGGAGAGGAAGGAGGAAGAGGAAGGAGGAGAGGAGGAGGAAGAAGAGGAAGAGGAGGAGAAGAGGAGGAAGGAAGAGGAGGGAGGAAGAGGAGGGAGGAGAGGGAGGGAGGAAGAGGAAGGAGGAGAGAGGAGGGAGGGGGGAGGAAGAGGAGGGAGGGAGGAAGAGGAGGGAGGGAGGGAGGAAGAGGAGGGAGGGAAGGGGAAGAGGAGGGTGGGGAGGAGGAAGAGGAGGGAGGAGAGGAGGGGGGAGGGAGGGGGAGGGGGGGGGGAGGGAGGGGAGGGAGGGAGGGAGGGGGAGGGGGGAGGGAGGGAGGGAGGGAGGGAGGGGGGGGGGGAGGGGGAGGGAGGAGGAGGGAGGGGGGAGGGAGGGAGAGGGGGGAGGGAGGGAGGGGGGGGGAGGGGGAGGGAGGGAGGAGGGAGGGAGGGAGGGGGGGGGAGGGGGAGGGGGAGGGGGAGGGGGGGGAGGGAGGGGGGAGGGAGGGAGGGGGGAGGGAGGGGAGGGGGGGGAGGGGGGAGGGAGGGAGGGGGGAGGGAGGAGGGGGGAGGGAGGGGGAGGGGGAGGGGGGAGGGGGGAGGGAGGGGGGGGAGGGGGGGGAGGGGGGGGGGAGGGGGGGAGGGGGGAGGGAGGGGGGAGGGAGGGGGGAGGGAGGGGAGGGAGGGAGGAGGGAGGTAGGGGAGGGTAGGGGGGGGGAGGGGGGGAGGGAGGGGGAGGGAGGGAGGGGTAATTCACACTATGTATACTTGTATTTATGTGCACCTGTGAGACAGAGAGAGATAGACAGAAAGAGAGACAGATTGAAAGAGATACAGAGACAGACACAGATAGATAAAGACAGACACAGATAGACAAAGGTACACAGAGACAGAGGTAGACAGAGATAGACAGACCCTAAACTTGGGGTTAACATCACTTTCCTCTTAAAAGAGGAGTGTTAATATGACATTACATCAGTGAATCCTTGGTGTTTGCCGCATTGTTTGCTCTTGCTGGCGTTCAATTTAACTGGCATTCCCACAAGGTACTAAGTGGTCCCAGATTTTTTTAATACTGTGCACACTGAGTGTTAGGACCCATTCTATGCTGACAAGGCATCTCAGGCCAATCATGCCAAATTTGAAGGCAGGAAAAATAAAACGTATATATACGTTTGGGGTGATATGCGTAAGAACATACATATACGTTTGGACCGTTTAAGGGTTAAGGGTAATCATAATTTAAGTTACCACAGTTTTCCATGTAATTTTTCAAAATATAGAGGAAGGCCCCACTTATATGGCAGGCTAGGTTCCAGGCTACTACCAGAAAGTGGACATCGCCGGAAAATAGAACTCCAATTTTTACCACTTATATGTGCATATAAATGCCAGAGAAATTTACACTAATATATATTAAATTAGCAATAGAACTAGGCATTAAAAAACAATAAAAAGTAAAATGCACAAAGAGTACACTCATTACTTACCTCAAAATATTTGTAGTTTTAATGTAGGGTGAGAGGTGAGTAGTATTTATTGTAAGAAGTTAGGTGTGGTAGGTATGGTAGCATTCCTGGCCACCTAACCCGCACATAATAAACTTTGACATCTACAGCGCCCTAGAGCGATAAAATGCATATATAATACACATAGTACTTACTTTAAAATATCTGTTGTCTTAATGTAGGGTGAGAGGTGAATAGTATTTATTTGTAGAATGTCAGGTGTGGGAGGTATGGTAGCCTGCCTGGCCACCCCACCCAATAAGACATTTAAAGTGCCCTAGAGCGATAAAATGCTTATACAGTACACTCGTTACTTATTATTAATTTATTTATTATCACACTGGCCGATTCCCACCAAGGCAGGGTGGCCCGAAAAAGAAAAACTTTCACCATCATTCACTCCATCACTGTCTTGCCAGAAGGGTGCTTTACACTACAGTTTTTAAACTGCAACATTAACACCCCTCCTTCAGAGTGCAGGCACTGTACTTCCCATCTCCAGGACTCAAGTCCGGCCTGCCGGTTTCCCTGAACCCCTTCATAAATGTTACTTTGCTCACACTCCAACAGCACGTCAAGTATTAAAAACCATTCGTCTCCATTCACTCCTATCAAACACACTCATGCATGCCTGCTGGAAGTCCAAGCCCCTCGCACACAAAACCTCCTTTACCCCCTCCCTCCAACCTTTCCTAGGCCGATCCCTACCCCGCCTTCCTTCCACTACAGACTGATACACTCTTGAAGTTATTCTGTTTCGCTCCATTCTCTCCACATGTCCGAACCACCTCAACAACTCTTCCTCAGCCCTCTGGACAACAGTTTTGGTAATCCCGCACCTCCTCCTAACTTCCAAACTACGAATTCTCTGCATTATATTCACACCACACATTGCTCTCAGACATGACATCTCCACTGCCTCCAGCCTTCTCCTCGCTGCAACATTCATCACCCATGCTTCACACCCATATAAGAGCGTTGGTAAAACTATACTCTCATACATTCCCCTCTTTGCCTCCAAGGACAAAGTTCTTTGTCTCCACAGACTCCTAAGTGCACCACTCACCCTTTTCCCTCATCAATTCTATGATTCACGTCATCTTTCATAGACCCATCCGCTGACACGTCCACTCCCAAATATCTGAATACATTCACCTCCTCCATACTCTCTCCCTCCAATCTGATATCCAATCTTTCATCACCTAATCTTTTTGTTATCCTCATAACCTTACTCTTTCTTGTATTCACTTTCAATTTTCTTCTTTTGCACACCCTACCAAATTCATCCACCAATCTCTGCAACTTCTCTTCAGAATCTCCCAAGAGCACAGTGTCATCAGCAAAGAGCAACTGTGACAACTCCCACTTTATGTGTGATTCTTTATCTTTTAACTCCACGCCTCTTGCCAAGACCCTCACATTTACTTCTCTTACAACCCCATCTATAAATATATTAAACAACCATGGTGACATCACACATCCTTGTCTAAGGCCTACTTTTACTGGGGAAATAATTTCCCTCTTTCCTACATACTCTAACTTGAGCCTCACTATCCTCGTAAAAACTCTTCACTGCTTTCAGTAACCTACCTCCTACACCATACACCTGCAACATCTGCCACATTGCCCCCATATCCACCCTGTCATACGCCTTTTCCAAATCCATAAATGCCACAAAGACCTCTTTAGCCTTATCTAAATACTGTTCACTTATATGTTTCACTGTAAACACCTGGTCCACACACCCCCTACCTTTCCTAAAGCCTCCTTGTTCATCTGCTATCCTATTTTCCATCTTACTCTTAATTCTTTCAATAATAACTCTACCATACACTTTGCCAGGTATACTCTACAGACTTATCCCCCTATAATTTTTGCACTCTCTTTTATCCCCTTTGCCTTTATACAAAGGAACTATGCATGCTCTCTGCCAATCCCTAGGTACCTTACCCTCTTCCATACATTTATTAAATAATTGCACCAACCACTCCAAAACTATATCCCCACCTGCTTTTAACATTTCTATCTTTATCCCATCAATCCCGGCTGCCTTACCCCCTTTCATTTTACCTACTGCCTCAAGAACTTCCCCCACACTCACAACTGGCTCTTCCTCACTCCTGCAAGATGTTATTCCTCGTTACTTACCTTAAAATATTTGTAGTCTTAATGTAGGGTGAGAGGCAAGTAAACAAGATAAAAAACGAATAAACAAGAGACAAAGAACAAGTAAATGAGAGGACAGAGCCGCAGAATATGTAAACAGGCAGATGAAAGTGTCTGGTTACAGTTGATATACATTCATTTCCATGTATGTGAGCTTATACCATAATACATAAACCTTACATTGTGTACAAGTTGTCTTCACGTTAAAAGGAATGACGGTCTGAGTTAAATCATACAAAAGGAATAATTTTCTACAGTTACCCTCAGTAATACTACTGTGCACACGTCTTCTTTGGTGTTGAACTATAGAAAACATTATTCTTTCTGACATTCCGACAAGACTGAAAAAACATCCCGCATTTATGTTAATTTACCCTTCTGTGGGGTGTATTTATCATGTTCATATGTTATATAGCGTGCTTATAATATAAATTTGAAAAAATATCATAGATGGAGTAATCAAAATGTCTATATTAACATAACATATGATGTTTAATGCTCCTCAGTGATTATTATTGTGGGTTGTTATTATTATTATTATTATCATTATCATTAATATGGCATCTTCAAGACTAATAAGACACTCTTAGTGATTTTTAACGTGTACCTACACCCCAGCACAATAAGTTTATTTTGGTACAGGTACACATTTTTTTTTTTCAACATACCAGCCGTATCCCACCGAGGCGGGGTGGCCCAAAAGGGAAAACGAAAGTTTCTCCTTTCGAATTTAGTAATGCATACAGGAGAAAGGGTTACTAGCCCCTTGCTCCTGGCGTTTTAGTCGCCTCTTACGACACGCATGGCTTACGGAGGAAGAATTCTGGTCCACTTCCCCATGGAGATAAGAGGAAATAAACAAGAACAAGAAATAGAAAGAAAACAGAAGAAAACCCAGAGGGGTATGTATATACATGCTTGTACATGTGTGTGTAGTGTGACCTAAGTGTAAGTAGAAGTAGCAAGACGTACCTGTAATCGTGCATATTTATGAGACAGACAAAAGACACCAGCAATCCTACCATCATGTAAAACAATTACAGGCTTTCGTTTTACACTCACTTGGCAGGACGGTAGTACCTCCTGGGTGGTTGCTGTCTACCAACCTACTACCTACAACAGGTACACATATGTATGTATAATTATCAGAGTACGTATATAAAATATGAAATAACTTTAAAACACTTGAAATTCTGTAAAGCTTCCACACATAATAGAGAGAGATGCTCATGGAGAATGTAAACAAACTGGGTGGCCCATGGTGACTGTATTAGAAAATCAGGTGGGGGGGGAACTGTATAGAGAGTTTTGGTCATAATTTGAAATGTTCATATTAGCAGAACGCTGTAAGCAGGGCCCTACTGTTCTAGTGATATATGTGAAGCAATATACACAAGTCATGACTATTTTTACACAAAAAAAAATGTGGCTCAAATTATACCCATCTTGTGAAGTAAACATACAATATTTTTAATTAAGAATAAACCAAACAGATTATAAAAAACTACGAGTAAATAACGTTTTACACAAAATATTTTTTTTATTTGAAGCATTGTGCTTCATATATTTTTATACCCCATTTGTTATGCTATGCATGGTCAAAATACAGGCACAGATACAGTACTTTTGTATAATGTGTAATTTTTTTTTTTTTTTACAAAATTTGCTTTTCATTATCTAAAATTATTGAGAAAATTTAATGCCAGATATAAACATTATAAGATGATCTTAATTAAAATATAATGCCAAAGCTTATATGAGTAGTTCAGTTTTTAATGAATAAATGACACCACTGGGAACAAATAGCGAAATGCATAAAAGTGAAAGGGTTAACTTACAATGCGCAATAAAAGTTATCACTGATTTCAATTTACATGATATAATTTTGTAAATCACACTGACCTGGGAATATTCTGAATATAGAGATTAGTTTCCTTTATGTCCTCCCCTGGCGGCCGTGCGTATGACACCTTGATGCGTTTGTGCTGCACAGGGAGGTTATTCAACTGCAGGATGGCTTTAGCGGCATCTTCTGGCTTCTGGTACTCCACAAAGCCGAAGCCAAAGGAATATCCAGTCTGCTGGGATGGCCAAGTGTAAGAAGGTAAAAATAAATGCCATTTTGATAAAAAATCTTAAAAGTAAATAAAGTGCAGTAAAAAATTAATAATTAAAGCTTTTTACAAATACAACAAAATAGTTTCATTTGTTAATTGTTAAAAATAATTTCTGCATCCTGGAAGAGAAAACAAAAATAATTTAAAAATTATTAAAAATAAAAAAAAAAATTATAAACTATAAATTCTAGTTCAATGCTATCAATATTTTCCTCTAGGACATAAGTTTGCATATACGTATAGTACACTACCTAAGATCTTCATACATTTAAATTCAAAATATTCAACAGATAATTATTGAATAGAAAGAGATAACCAAGATATTATATCTATCTTCCAACAATTTTCTTCTTATTCTTTTTAGTAATCTTTACAGGAAAAGGGGTTACTAGCCCATTGTTCCCGGCATTTTAGTTGACTTTTACAACTCGCATGGCTTACGGAGGAAAGATTCTTATTCCACTTCCCCATGGATATAAAAGGAAAAGTAATAAGACCAAGAACTATTAAGATAAAATCAAAGAAAACTCAGATGAGTGTGTATAAATAAACATGTACATGTATGTGTAGTGAGACCTAAGTGTAAGTAGAAGTAGCAAGACGTACCTGTAATCTTGCATGTTTATGAGACAGACAAAAAACACCAGCAATCCTACCATCAGGTAAAACAATTACAGGCTTTTGTTTTACATTCACTTGGCAGGACGGTAGTACCTCCCTGGGTGGTTGCTGTCTACCAACCTACTACCTTGGATCTTCCAACAATATGTTGCAAAATATTAGTAATTTCATTAAATACTTTGGTCAGTGCATTAAAATAAAAAGAAATAACTAGTAAAAACAAACTCAAACCAATTATTGCACACACTAATATACTACTGATCAAAAAGAATGGAATGATGGTAGGATGAATGCTAGTACTATTCCGTTATATTAAAAGAAAGTGTCAGGATGTAATTTAATTATACAATTAAAATTATTCTGCTTAATATGATAAACATAATAGCAACATATACACTGAAATGTTAAACTGTCAGAGGATACAGCTGCTGCTTTCACTGGTATTGGATCACCTGTACTCAACTCTGGGACTATTGATAGTTCCATCAGAAGTGGAGTTAATATAAACTAAAGTTATAATGAGTGTAAGTTATATCTTGTAGCAGTTGTGAATATGTTTATGTAGGAGAAATATATAAAAATTCGGAAGCAGGTATGTATGAACACAAATTCTGTTGCCATTTACACACTTAACTACCAATGCTTGCATCATACACGATAACAAAACTTCATTAACTAGAAAGATGCGAGCCTCATTGCTCATCTCAGCCTCCAATCTAAGCAGACTATGGAATTACCTATGCTCTTAATGGCAATTAGACTACTCCTTGGTGTGAGACATAAAATGCCTGTTTACAGTACATACTACATTATTGGCAATTAATTATATGTACGGTACATACAGGTTAACTGAATAGGGTAGGTTAGTCTAACCCAGAACAAATTTTTTTTTACGTTGTGCAATAACTAACAAGAAAACAAGCACACTAAAAAATAAACGCTGCAGTTGGTGGATAGGTTGCTGCATCATGGGGAATAAACACCTGGATAAAGTACAATGAAGCTTCAGCCATTCGACACACAAACTTCAATGAACAAAATCAAGAACTTTAGCATGCCCACTGCTTGTTAAGCCAGTAGTTGATATGGACATTGTTAAAATATGCCATGACTGTGTTATTACCTACAGTATTTGTACGACTCACAAAATCATAATGTGATATGGCTGTAAACTACTCACTGAATGGTGTGGGGTTTAAACTCAAAACAAGCCAGTCCTGAGAGTTAGGAGTGGCTTGCCATCAGCTAAAACCTTACTCAATGTAGTATTTGTAAGTACTGTACCTATCAGTAGTTACAGGAGCAGAGTTATGATTGTAGTGTCTCATCATCATAATTTTAATTATCATATAATTTTTTTTTTATTTCTAGAGGTTGAAGCACTTATTACATCTTGTAACCTTATTATTGTTCTACCACTCTGAAGAATGTCCAGTACCCTTTTGACACTACCTCTTTGTTTATAACACGGAGTCTCTTGTTCTCCCTGTTATTTGTGCTTGAAAACCCTATCACTTCCTTCTGTATTCTTTCATATTATAAATGGTTGCGAGGTCTTTTTCACATATTAGTTAGTGAGGGCATATTCAATGCTTTCAGCGTTTCTTCATATCTCATTTCTTAAAAGTTCTGGTAGTCATTTTATAACATGTCTGAATTTTTTTTTCCATCTTCACATGAATTTTTTAGATGCAAACACCATGCTACTATTGCATATTTCAACTTTGATGTGCATATGTGACTTGACCTCACTGTCTCACTATGTACTAAACATTACACTACCACCTGCTCAATTAAAAAAAAAAAAAAAAAAACACTAGCCTGGCTTTGGTCCCAGGTATGCTGTCAAGAACAATTAAATATACAGTATATACAGTGGACCCCCGGTTAACGATATTTTTTCATTCCAGAAGTATGTTCAGGTGCCAGTACTGACCGAATTTGTTCCCATAAGGAATATTGTGAAGTAGATTAGTCCATTTCAGACCCCCAAACATACACGTACAAACACACTTACATAAATACACTTACATAATTGGTTGCATTGGGAGGTGATCATTAAGCGGGGGTCCACTGTATTATGGAATTACTGTATTACGTAAATCTCAGGACAAGAGTATCTGTTGAAACAAATTATTACTAAAGAAAGTAGAGTGGAAGGGGAAGCAAATACAGTGGAACCTCGACTTATAAGCGTCCCAACATACAAGTTTTTCGAGATATGAGCCGTCGCTCGGTCGATATTCTGCTCCGAGTTATGAGGCAAAATCTGAGTTACGAGCATGCTTCCCCTTCAACCCACAACCCGCACACCTCGCTTGTGTTTATGATTTCATGCTTTAATTCCATGGACATCATCCTCTTTTTCTTCTCAGCACTGTCCTTTGGTTAGAAAAAGGAAATTGTACAATTATTTTGCCAAATTTCTTTTTTCTAACCATGGGTCCTAAGAAAGTAAGTGCAAAGGAGAGTGCTGAGAATAAAGAGAATGATGCCCATTCAATTAAAGCATGAAATCATAGATAAACACAAGGTGTGCAGGTTGTGTTGTGGAGTTTGCGAGGCAGTAGAAGTGTAGTACTTCTACTACACTGATATTGCCTCACATTAAGCATTAATTAAGTGTGTAGCAATTAAGTTCAGCGATAAGTGTAGCATTAAGCGTGTAGCAACTAAGTTCAGCGATAAAGTGTAGCAAGTAGCCTATCTTTTCCAACCTCCACCTCCGCCAGTGTACGTACACTTTATAAAACCACTAATTTCTTTACATTATTATGTTTTATGTTTTCATACAGTATTTATTTATAAATACATTGTTTCAGTGTTTTCCTTGTGAAACTAGTGATCTAGTGCAGTTAGCCTTACAAACACTCCGTTTTCAGAAGGGGAAGACATGTTCAGTGTGGGAGAGGGAGGTGCCGCCACCACTCACCATAGTATGGCCTATTTTATTCATTCTAGAGCATATATCATGTTTCTATGCTATTTATATTGTTTATTATGTCATATTAGAGCATGACAGATATATAAGCCGAAGAGTTGATATCAGCATTATATTGAAGTATTTTGTCCTACCTCCCAAGAGCAGGAATTCCACTGGAACGGATTAATGACATTTCAATTAATTTAAATGAGGAAAATTGATTTGATATACGAGCAAATTGAGTTACGAGCTAGATCATGGAACGGATAAGTCAAGGTTCCACTGTATGTACTCATCTCAATCAGGTTAATTATTTAAAAAATCTCAAGGAGAAATCTAGGTACAGTGGACCCTCGTTTTTCGTAAGCATCAGAAGTCGTAATTTTCGAAAATCATAATGTTTTCTCGTCAAAATATTACTCGCGAATCGTTGTTTGACTGGCAAATAGTGTTCGTCCCAGACACGTATGAGCAGCCCCGACGCGGCCACAGTCAGTGTCCCATTGTTTATCAGCGAGTGAGCACAATCCCACGCATTCATACTATACATTTTGTGATATTCCATTTTGTTTTAGTGCTTGCAACTGCTAAATAAACCACCATGGGCTGAAAGAAAGCTAGTGCCAGCCCTTTGGAAAAGGTGACAGACACGATAGAATTAAAGAAAAAGATTGTAGAAAAATACAAAAGTGGTGGTGGTAGTGGTGGTGGTAGTGATGCTGGTAGAGGGTGGTAGTGGCTCTGATGGTGGTAGAATGTAGTAGTGATGGTGGTAGAGGGTGGTAGTGGTTGTGATGGTGGTAGTGATGGAGGTAGAGGATGCTAGTCATGGTGGAAGAGGGTGGTAATGGTTGTAATGGTGGTAGAGGGTGGTAGTGATGATGGTAGAAGGTGGTAGTGGTTGTGATAGTGGTAGTAATGGAGATTTGTACAATGTGGAGTAGGATGGAAAGATTTGTGGCATTAAAAAACAAAGAAAGGAAGTGACCCCAAATAAGGACTTGGTACCTCGAGTCCTTATGGAAGGGGATTCCCCTTCCAAAGAATAACCTCTCTTCCCTTTCCCCTCCTCCCTGTCTTCCATCCACCAACAATGGCCTTCAATAAAGGTAAGTGTCATGTTGAATGTTCATTCTTTTGTGCATGATGTTGAATGTTCATTCTTTTGTGCATGTAAATCTATCTTTAAGGTAAAAAAAAAAAATTATTACTTCTGGGTGTCTGGAATGGATTAATTGGATTTACATTATTTCTTGTGGGGAAAATGGTTTCGTAAATCGTCAATTCCGCCATTAGTCACACTCCCTGGAACGGATTAATTACAAAAAAACGAGGGTCCCCTGTACAGTAAAATCTCTAACGGATTTTGGACAAAAAAATTGACCAGACAAATTGAGGAATTGGACAAAACAGACAAAAG